CATTATTATTATTATTATTAAAACACCTCCAGGTACTTGTAGGTCCCAGCACACAGGTCTACTGAGCTCTCTACTTCAACAGTACAGTTGTTTTTCCCATTACATCTGTGAATGCAGGTGTAAGGTGAGTCAGCAGAAAAATGAAATACATTGTGTGATCTGGGAGAAGGTGGAGAGTTGAAGAAACAGAGTCAGCATCTGTACCTGTTAGTTACATATTCCATGCTTCCTGACCAGAAGCAGTTAACATTTTCGAGCTGAGATTAAGGATTCACGGCGACCATAATTCGCCCAGGAGACGACTATAACCTGTCCTTCATCTGAGGAAGAGTTCATAGAGTCAAACTGTAACCATGGTGATATTTTTATTATGTGAATACGCAAACGTACAAAGACATAGAAGCTGTGTTCTCACCACACTGAAGGTTTGCCTGAGATCCTTCACATATTACACTTTGGCCTGAAACAGACACAGATCCCATAGAAACTGTAATCAATCATGTACAGATTGGGTTCATCAGTCATTTCTAATCACAGGTTTAACAGAGTCGTTACGTGTGAAGCAGTCGTAGGTGGTCTGCAGGTATTTGCAGACTCCAGGATCATAAGTAATGTTTGACTTTATGTCACACTCGGTTTTTCCATCACAGCTGCAGGGAGACAGAAACAGCTGGTTTTCAGCTCAAAGATATGAAACAAGTTACTTTCAGGTAATCATTTACTTCCTGTTAGTTTGAGTAAAGCTGTTCAACAGGTTTTAGTTTGTTTCTTCTTTTGAATCAAAGGCTCACTTCTACCATCCCACAGTGCTCACCTGTTCCTCACGTTGTTCCCCCTGTTGGTCCCTGGTGTTAGTGTTCCCCTGTCTCATCAGGTTAATCAGGCCCAGCTGTGTCTCCCACCTGTGTGTGATTTCCCAGTGTGTCTCTGTGTATTTATAGTGTGTGTCTGCCTCTGTTCCTCGTCGCGTCGTCTGTGTTCATCCTCTGTGTTACCCTGTGTTTCTGCGTTGCTCCGTGAACCTCTCTGTGTCTCCACTATGTGCTCTCCCTGCAGTTCTCCTCTCGTGTTTCAGGTTTGCCATTCTATAGTTTAGTTTTCCCAGTTTAGGTTATCCTCAGTTCTGTTTTGCCATCCCCACTTTGTGTTCTGTCTTCTCTAATAAACCTCCCTGCTTCTCAAGTAAGTGCAGCAAAGTCCTCCTTCTCCGAACTTCACACGGCTGCAGCCCCAGTCGTGACATTTTCACTCGCAAGCGGAGAGTGTTTGCTAGCGCTGTCCGTAGAAAACGCCATTTTTACTGTTGTTCCCGCTGTAAACACCACTGTTTTGTTCAGAAAAAAACATTGTGTGTATTTTTTAGCATAACTCTGGTTTTACGTGGCCCATCGACACAATTCAAAAACTGGCGTATAGTTTGAAGTCCGCAGTTTCGACCCAAGTTGAAATGGAGACTCTGAGTCGCTGCATCTTGTAGCTGTGTTGTCCTAAATTGGTCATGTGATTTTGATGCACCGGCGCGTCCGTCGACCCCAGAGGTTAATTAGTCATTGTCAGTTGTTGATTTGTTCCAATAACAGTTTTTACAGTAAAATATGTTAATGTACAATCCTTAATATATTTTATGTGTGGGTGTGGGGTGGGGTAGAGAGTACAGGGGACGGGGTGGGGAGGCACCAGAGGGGGTGTTCGCCCAGGGCACCAAACAGGCTAGGACCGCCACTGCATCCAAGTGACTTCTTCAGTCTCAGCTGACTGCAGGTTTCCCCATTCTTATAAACATACATTTGCATAATGAGTGAAACCAGCCCACTGAATAAACAATGGGCTGGGAGGTGTTGAGGTTTAAATTTATCATCTTAAATGTTTATTGTTTATTGTTTAATGTTTATTGGATTAGACTGAACATGTGCAGCTGATTTCATGTCTAAATAAAGGATTATCAGTGTGTTGTACTCACACAGTGTGCTGCTGAGTCCGGAACAGAGCATCATGTTAGGAGATCTGGATTACAGTGAAGAGCTGATGGAGGATCAAACACAGAGCTGCTGGATTCACTCTGTTTCAGTAACACCTGTGATGTACATGCAAAGCACAGCCAATGGAAAAGCAGAGTATCCTCCTTCTCACGTGCAGGATGTTGGATGTTTGGAATGGAAAAAGTATGAGAAAAAGCAAAAACCAGGATGTGAATAAACAACATGTAAAACAGGGTGCAGCAGGAACACAGCAGGAATATATTTGTATGGAAAATTTTCATATTTACACGGAACATCTCCACATGTCTCTCTGGTCAGAGAACACAAACGAGACAGTGTTTGTGATGCTGAGTCAACAGTATTATACTGTAAGTGTTTAAAGAGAGGTTTCCATTGACTGTGTGAAGAACTGTTGAAAGTTCC